AAGGAGGAGCGCCCGGCGACAGCCGGGCGATCCGACTGGTATATATATAATCCGCTAAGTGTTGTCTGTGTGTGTGTCTGTGTGTGTCACGAAATTCATAGCGCCTGTCCCAGTAGCAGTGAGACAATGATTTCAAGAAGTGATGTACGGGTGTGACGGGAACACTATTGGTAGGTGACAGGAAGTTATATCAGTTGATAAGATTCGATAAGGGGCTGTAGAAGGAGAAGGTCACTATAATCATAACGCAAGTGACAGCATCAGCCTGCTCTCGATTTTAAGATATGATATAGAGGATAGTCCAAGAACATCATTAGTGGGTCACAAAAACTGTAAGCTGCTGATAAGATTCGATAAGGGGCGTTAGAAGGAAAAGGTTACCATATTCACAGCGCAGGTCACAGCAGCAGTCAGCTCTTGATTTCGAGATATGATATAGGATGAGGGCCAAAAACATTATTGGTGGGTAATAAGAACTGTGAGCTGCTGATAAGATTCGATAAGGGACGTTAGAATAGTGAGGTCATCGTATTCATAGCGCAGGTCACAGTATCAGCGAGGCGTGCGTTTCAGCAAGTGATATAGAGAGTGAGTTGGGAACATCAACCGTGGGTGACTAGAAGCGATAACTACTGATAGGGGCTGATAATGGAGGTTGCAGTCGTCGTCGCTGTTCAAGGTGGTTCACGCTCTCAAATCATAGAGATTTAGTGATGAGGACATTGATGACGGGTGACAGGTAATCTTATCAATCGATAAAAATTGATACCATCTGCGCTAACTTCTCACCGCTTTAATGCCGAGTATTCGAGGCTCAGATCATAGCGAGACAGCCGACGGCGAGCCATGAGTATATAGTCGGCGAAAGAGTTGTCGAGCGGGGGGGGGGTATCCAATAACTATGCAACGTATATCCCACGGGCGTACAGAATGCATATAGTGCATATAAAACAAAAAATTAATACGACCCCCTTTTCCACAAGAAAAAATCAACTATCAAAATAAATTTGTCTTACCCCACCCCAAATACGACCCCCTCCCCAGAGCAAAAGTACGACTCCCCCATGTGTTTCACACAAGGATGCTGTACCCTGTCTGTGTGTTGTATGGCCGTTATGGCGCGGACCGCAAGTATAAGCGTTTACTATGGAACGCAGGATCCGCAGGGTTGCTCTATCTGTTATGATTGTACCAATACAGAGCTGTATGAGCAACGCAGTGATTGGAAGAGTTCCGTTCCCCAATATGGAGCGCGCCTGCCAGCTCGGCGAAGCAGAGCTAGGAGAGCTCAGCGTTAGCCGGGCGATCCGACTGGTATTCCAGTAAAAGGGTACAACACGAAAATAATATAAATGACACAAGTAGGAGAAAGAGACTATGACGGTCCTAGGAGATCCCTACGTTGAACTACCATTAAACAGGACGTCTCCCTGGGTAGAGGACCGAGCCGGCTCTCCGGTCCATTCTCCAGTCGACTCCTCGCTTGCCTCCTCCGCCGCTTCCTCACGCCTCCTGAAAACATTCAGATGAGTCATGGCTTCGTCACCCTTACTCGCCGCCGCCATGAGGCGCGGCTTACACCTCCCCCTTTACCGAAAGTCCGACCCGGACTTTCAATGTAGAAAAAAGGAACGGACTTACCGGAACAGGCTAGTGAGGGGGATTCAAGTAACGGTTGACATCCTTGAAGGGGACCACGGCATTCAGCGAGTCGGCCCATTCCAAAACTCTGCTCCATGTCGGGATGCGCCGAAGGGAGTCGGCGTGGCCAAAGATGAATTGGCCGTGCCGACACCGGGAGACCGCCACGTTCAGTCGGCGGTAATCGTCCAGGAAGTCTGCCGTCTCTGAAGAGAATCCTGTTCTAGTGGTAAGGATTATAACAACCTCTTTCTCTCGGCCCTGGACGGAATCCACTGTTGTCAGCTCCACATTCAGAGTGTTCAGCTCGTCCTTCATTTGTCGATACTGTTCCCTGTAAAACGAGATTACACAAATAGAGGCAGCTGGGATTCCTTTGAACAATAGCTGCCTTATGAAGTACGTGCAGAGGCGAGCTTCGGTCGTGTTGAAGTGGGACTTGCTAGGAGCCTGCATGGAGTCCCCGATGGTATCGATGAAGAGAAAAGGGACCCCCCCCTGGTGGGAAAATTCATCACTGCCAGCAGCATCTGCCGGGATGCTGCTTGTGTGCCGCTTACTGGTGATCGCAGCAACGGACGAAGGCTTCGGCAGACGCTGGGAGCACTGTTGTCTGAGAAACCCTGACTGGGATCGACTGGATCACGGCGTCACCTGGGGAAGCGGAGAGAATCTTTACCTGTTGGTCCGCTACAGAAAAGGTTCGAGTGCTGTAGTCGATTGACCAGGGAGGGAGCCTACTTAGCAGGTCGTTGCCCAGAATTATGTGGTAAGTCCCGGTCCCTTCGGGAATGCAATCCGATTCTGAGAAGTAAACAGGGTGCTCGAACGAAAGGGATCCAATCTCGAAAGAGAGTGAAGCACAACCGAGGAGATGGACCGGCACCCCTGCCATGCCTACGGCAGTTGTTATGTCACTCTCGATTACGTTGAAGGCTCCAAAGAGAGGTGCCGTGGCAGCTGAGGTGATCGTTATGGAGGTGTCCACTAAAGGCGAGCACGCTTATATGTTTACTCGGATTGGGATCTGGGTCACAAAGAAGCGGCCTTGTCTAGAAAGGTAGAGGACGTTCACAGGGCTCATCTTCGCTCGCGGAGGCCAGGAGGATGTGGAATCAATTGCCAGCTGGGCCAGCTCCACGTCGGCATGACCTAAGCTTTGAATTGCACTGATCCGAGGGATGGTCAGCCTCGGCAAGGTGGTCGCGGGCCCAACCGCTGAAACAGTACATGGCGTACTGATCTGCGTGTGGAAGAAGGGCAACCGGCCCCTGGGAATGGAGCTGCGAGTAGATGTCGAGGATGGTTTTAACGACAGCCAACGATACTATGGCACAGCATACAGCTACCCATATGTCGAAGATGGTCCATGATCCCAAGAAGAAGGACAAAATCGTGGATGGCAACGAAGAAGAAGAGGTCGAAGAGGTTACGTAGTCGTCATCATGTCGCGGTGTAGCCAAGCGAAGAAAGTGGTCCGGTGTAGCTGAAGACCATAGCTCTTGCCACTGATGGTCCTGGACCAACTCGCTGAGATTGGTCAGGATCAAGTTGTGGAAAATAGTGAGCGGAAGGGCCAGGGCAGAGGCGTTGATCGTATCTGGCATCCCCACGTACTGCACACTGGACTCGGGCACCACCAGGGTTTTCCCAGTGAATGTGTTGAATTGTAGAACCGTCGCCATGCGAAAAGTAGATGGGGGCCACAGAAGCACACGGCACCGACGAAGCCTCCTTGCGATATTACCCGTGTTGAGGGGTCGATGAAAGACTCAACAGTAGACCCGCTGGGCAGGGAGATCTCAATACGTGGTTTAGTGAAACACGTCCCATTAAATGGAATAAGGCGCCAGCTACGAGGAGGAACAGGCATGCAACGATGGATCTGCACGAGGTCATTGCCCAGGAACGTGGCAGCAATATCAGTCCTGGACAGGAGGCTGCGCAGAGTCAACGTGGGATTGGCGGAGAGGGATGCATGCAAAGCGAACGCTAGAAGGTTGGTTCTATCACACAATGCCAGTAGTGAGTGCTGGAAAAGCGCCGCTACGGCTGACCCTACCGATCCCTCGACCGCAAGGAGCTGCGCAGCCAGCTGGTTGGAAGTAATTATGCCGGCACCGATTTGAATGGAACGTGAAAATCGATTAGACGCGAGCACGGCGTACCCCTGGTCTGATAGGGTGAGCTGAGATCCACAGTCGTAGATGCGCTCAGGGCACGCCATCCTTGTGATCTTCACAACAGGGGGGGGAGTCGTATTTGACCTCGAGGGAGGGGGTTCAGCTTCAGTGATGAAAGACTTACCCATGTGAAGAACCTCTGAAGAGACCCACACAAGACAGAAGCAACCTGCCAGCGCAGAAGTGGGGAACGGGCGATGACAGGAAATACGATGGCCTCCCACAACGACGTCATGAATTAATAAAAAAAGGTAAAGGATAAAGTCTCCGCCGTTGATCAACCCCTTTGTGGGATGCGGCACGCATTCTACTTCCATTCAGAATCGTAGTGGCTTATTGAATGCGATGTGGCCTATACAATGACTTGCGGTGGCCAGCCGATGTACAAGTCAGTGTTTTATCCTCCCAGACGAATCTGGTACCAATTTACCGTCCCCGGAGGAAAGAAGGCTTGGTTGGCCTAGGCGAGAGTCGACCCGGGATTTGAACCCGGCATCGCGCGAGTGGTAAGCGCGCCACTTGTCACTACACCACCTCCGCGCCAATGAATATCCGCCATGAATAATAAACAGATGAAAATACACTTCCGGACCTTTCTATCGCAGAAGCACATCTACTTGCACGGAGGAAGCCCTTTCTAGAAGTTGCACCTTCCCAATAGCTCTGCGTGAAAGCGCTATGCATGGCGCATTGCAGAGGTGATGCCAATTGGCGTCCAATGAACTATTTCCTGATATCCTTGGCAAAAACATGCGTTTTAAAGCATACCAAAACCTTTACACGAACTAGCACAGTTCTTTTTTTACGAAAGGCCGTGTATGAAGCTTGCCATGGATGTCCAAAGCGTAGCGACTTGTGGTTGGCCCCCATGATCACGCAAGGGTCACAACGGGGAAAATTTCTAGAAAAGAAATGTTTTTGAAATCGCTCAAACTCAGGTAACAAGAGCCAACCTAGCTCCACTCATTCCCACTTTCCCCTCTCCGAGAGCTTTACTTTCAACGAAGTTATGGGTGTTCAAAAGAGGGTACTTTTCGAGTATTTGGCTTGAAATTGGCTGCAGGCTACTGTATTGCAAGCTTGTTGCATTGAATGTGCAGCAAGAAGAAATATGCTTCCGTTCCCGAGCGTAATTTCCGGACGAACGTTACGCGATGTTCCGAGTGACATCGCGGAATGTCAACACACACTCCGCGATCACAGTTTGAGTTCACCATTAAATATCCGGACAGTGAAGGAAAGAGTGAACTCACCGAAGACGACTCAACCCAAACTTCAGGAACAGACAAGTATTTGGAAAAGTTACGTCTACTGAACGAAGTATTACGCAATTTCACACTCGTCACTTCGAGCGTTGTTTAACTCCCAGAAAATAGGTGGATGAGCTGGAATACGAGCGAGACGACTAAGATCGGATCGGTCCGAAACAGACTGAATAAAAAGTATCGCGCCAGTTTTTTGAAATTTAGTACCACTGGCATATCTCGTCCACCTCCTCTCTATCGATGAGACAACTTTCATGGGCGTTCCCTCTTCGGCTTACGACGACCGTAGCGCCCTCGTCGTTCACTGTCGAGCCGTAAAGGAAAAACAATCTCGTAAATTGCAGATCAGAATTTTCGTTTGAAAAAAGATTTATGAAAACGAAGTGAAAAAAAGACTACAAAATAAAATTCGAAGTGGATCACGGGGTACTGGATACCCAAAGAATAGTTCTTGCGTTTGCGTGCTCGTAACGCTTTCGGGATTCCTTGGGGGTTCCAAAATCAATCGTGAGTTCTCGCACTTCAAACGCAAAGGTTCTGTAGAGGGAGAGTTACTTTTTTCAAAAAGTGATATAAATTTTAGAAAGCTCTGCAGTTTACGAGATATTTTAGCTTATTTGGGGAATTTTTGAACCTATAAAAGTTCTGTTCCTTCCGTAGCCTTGCAAGTAGGCCGAAGTATGCTTCCAGAACGCATATTGTTGTCGAATAAATGGTTTGCTCACCGCCGATAACTCTTCGTTTATCCATATAATCAAGTGTGTTCTTAGGGTTCAGAAGGGTCCATACCATAGCCTACCTACATGTAAGTTGTACAATTCAGTCACCGAATTTTTCTGACTGTCTAATATTGCTAATTTATTGTTTTTTATGCTTTCCTACGCTCATCCTGGTTCTCTACAGCAAGAATTCCGCTCTTTGTAATATAGCGTTTAACTTGGTGAGCTGCTCAATGGTGATTCTCTGCTTGCAAGTGTCGCCCACCTAGCGTTGAAGTATGACCCTATATTCCCTGTTTGCTGCATAAAAAGGCAGACCGACAGTGGCACTCATCTCCTGACGTTTGCAATCTAACAACTCTTCACACGAGCCATCCTTGACAGAAACGGCAAAATGCTAGACAAAGGACAGCTGTACGAGCATTTAGGGATCCGATGTCATGGGTTACGGATTTGATGATCAGAAGATGACAGGAGGGTACTTGCCGCCTAAGCACGCAGTCTAGTATCGATCGACGCCGGTTTTGTCGCTACTGACTAGGGAAGGTCGCCAGGTCGAAGTGGCCATTTGTAATGAGATATAGCTCACTGGACGTGGTTTTGGACGCTGATCTCGAATCTGCCTTTGAAATTTGCAGAACGATTCTCTTAAAGAATCATGGAGCTATTTTCCCTCACGTCTGCCGAGCTACCGGCCATGGGATAGGATCCCTGCCAGGCCGAATTTTTTTGCTTCTTGCAGGAACATGGCAAAAAAGGTTGTGGCGTCACCACTTCATGAGGGTTCACCTGAACTTACCTGGAAGGGGACTTGCGCGCACTTGTTATTGCGCTGGGGCGAATTGTGATCTAGAAGAAGATTTGGGTGCACAGGCGCCCGTAGTGCACGATACAGGCGTGCGCTAAGCGATTGTCATATTCGTGTTTAGCAGGTCAGACTGCGCTTAGGTACAAATTTCTAGCCACATCTGGCATTTTGACCTGATTCTAAAAAGTGGAGCATCTTGGAGTGCAGTTCAATTCATGTTCACAGCTACTCAGCTACTGATAGTTCTCCTGTTGAAGCCTCATCTTACCATTTCTGACGAATTCGTTTCCTTATTCCTACACTTCCCTGAAATCCAAAAGCAAGGTCCGCCCGAAAACAAGGAATCGATTATATGCTTTCTACAGAACGCCTGGTGGTCATGATTCTACCAACTGCTGCCTCACTTTTGCGAGTTAGGTCAAAACCGAATTTGGCTAGAAGTCTGTTTCTAAGGGTAGTTTTACTCCCTGAACAGGAATGTCACTCCCGTTTGGCGCACAAACGTTTGTGCGCTACGAGAACCCGTACACAGATAGTCGTGGTCGTAGGCGCCCAGTCTTCTAGAATTACCTAGGACACCGAGTGGATTCGTGAAATACGATCATACAATCTTGAAAGTGTTTACTAGACTCGAAATAGGCGTTCTTCACAACATGCGAAAACGTGTCTCTCTCAAAACCATACCTTCTCACGCCCGCGAAGCAACACTCTACCTCTATAAAATGTGCCGATAGCAGTGGATGCGCTTCGCGGTTATTCACGCGAATTGGCTGGCAACGCGCTTGACTTCATGTCCTTTTATTCAAGAAGCTTTCATAACTTCGTTCAGGGAATCGTTCCACAAATTCCGAATGCAGGCTTGAGATTAGCGTCCAAAAACACGTACCTTGGTCTATGTCTTGCTGCAAATGTTCACTTCAATTTTAGTACCATCCCCAGTAAGCAGGTGGCACAGAGGCACGGTGAGCATATAAGAACAACGAGGAATCAGTGAATTAGATGGCGAACGTGCGGCTTCGCACCCTTTTCTTTTCTGCACTCTTATGTGCTTTAATGTATGCTTAGAGACTTGTACTCTGCGCAGGCAGGCACGTCATGCAATGTTAGACCGACCGGTGGAGCAAAGCTGTTGTTGCTGGATTTCGCGGAACCTCGAACGAACACCATGAAGACTGCCAGCACAATGTCCAGACTTTCGAAAGCTCTGCAGGAAATCATGAATCCGTGCTCCTGGGGCTGTTAGAATGGACTGGAATATTCTGGTTCATAACAGGGACGATCGGAAATGCTTCTTCGATTGGCATGAGCAATACAGTGATCAGCAGAACGACGCCTTATACCACAGGAGACAGGTTCTGTGGGGAACCTTCATTTGTGACTTACTGTTGTGTTGTTTTCTGTGCATTGTCTGTTTAAGCCCTCACTACCAGGGAAATCGTTCAGTACGTGAAGCGTTTTTTGAAAACGGGTTTTTCCATGATGTGGGGTCACGTGCATGGAGTGCCAATTAGAAGCAAAGAAAAACAAACATGCGAAATGAATACACTCCACAAGCTGACGTTTCGTTTTTTTCTGAACGCCTCTGGGAATACCAAAAAAGGAGTGAAAAAGAAGTGTATGGAAACCGATCGTTTTTGAGCCTCTATGGGCTCTAAATCACTTGCAACTTTGACCAGTTGCTGAGTGAAGGGTCGTTATGAAAGGTGCTATTGGAATCAGGGAGAAAAATAGCCGCGAATGGGATTGTGGCACGTGATCAAGGGTGAACGGCTTCTTGGAATGGTTTCTTCAGTGATCGGAGCGGTGTTCAGCAACAACGATCGGATGGCCTAGTGGATAGCGTGGAGGATTCTCAATCGGACGGTAGGGGTGGGGTTGATATTGGCTCCCCTCGGATTGCAAGTTTTAGCACTTTTTATGTTTCGCTGTTTTCGCTTCTATGTATGTCTGTGCGTGAGTATAACATGGATATTCACCATTTGCAGGCATTTTTCGAATAGTTATACCCCAGGAGTCGGTGCCATTTAACAGTTGTGATTTTCCCCATTAACATAATTTCATTTTCCCCATTACATATCATTAAGCAAGAGTTTCTGAAAGTTGATGTTTATACGTTATTCAGGGCCCTTATCACAAATATGGTACTAACTTTCAGCTGTGGTGCCATTTGTCGCCAGTTTCGAGCTACACCAAATGGCGTCGACGACAGAATTGAGTATTAGAATCGTGTTCAGGACCATCGATTACCCCTATGGGCGAATTTCGGTCAGAAAAGTTTTTTCTTTACTTCCGTGGGTACTGGAACGACATCTTTGTTGATCGAGCAATCGCTAGGGGTCGACAAACGTCCAGAATGGTTTTTCACGTATTCTGCGGCCACCCAGGCTTATGCCAAGAATGAAAGGACCTCATGCGCACCGAATCCGCGATACAGCTGCCTGGCAGCCCGCCGCGTCATCGTTACGTCATCCTCGCTACAGGGTGGACAGTACAGTCGTCATTGCCGACCAAATGGTCTACCCCAATGCGAAACCGTCAGAAAGTTTTTTTTTGGCCGAAAAATAGCTTTAGGGGTAATCGATGATCTGAACGCGATTCTAACACTTGTTTTCAGCGTCGACCCTTAAAGCCCCTTAAATGAGTGTACATAACGTGTTCAGTGAGAGAAAGGTGTGGCTCCGAATTGGCGAAATGGCACCACAGCTGAAAGAAAATGCCCTATTTGTGATCAGCCCTGAATAACATACAAACATCAACTTTCAGAAAACCTCTTGCCCAATGGTATGTAATTGATGGTGAAGATCAAAATTGTTAAATAGCACCGGCTCATGGGGTCTAACTATTTAGAATGTGCCTATTAAATGGAAGATATCCATGTATACTCACGCACACACATATATGAAAACGAAAACAGGGAGACATGAAAGATGCCAAAAACCGCAAGGCCAAGGGAGCCGAACCATCAGCCCCACCCCTACCGTCCGATTGAGAATCCTCCACGCTATCCACTAGGCCATCCGATCGTTGTTGCAAACATCGCTCCGATCGTTGAAGAAACCATTCCAAGGAGCCGTTCACTCTTAATCACATGCCACAAGCCCATTCGCAAATATTTTTCTCCATTCCAATAGTACCTTTGTAAGGACCCTTCGCTCAGCAACTGATCAAAGTTGCAAGTGATTTAGAGCCCATAGAGGCTCAAAAACAGTCGGTTTCCATGAACTTATTTTTCACTGCTTTTCTGATATGTTCAGGAAAAATGAACGTCCAGTTTGGTACTCCATGCACGTGACCCCACATCATGCAAAAAACCGTTTTCAAAAAGCGCTCCACGTCCTGAACGACCTCCCTGGTAAGGGTGCTGACAATGGAAGGATGGTGCATTGGTGGAGAAATTCGTCCCAAATAAAATATGTCCTGATTAACTCGACCTTGGACTGTTATTACGAATCCAGCTTCCAATCTGCTGAACCCTCTGAAAAGAAAGTTATCACAAGAATGCTGAGTTGTGGGCAAAAGTCGTGCCCCAGGCGGGAGTCGAACCCGCACCTCACGCTTTCCGGGCGAGTGCGCTATCCGTTACGCCACCAGGGCCGCTTTTACCCTCTCAGCTTAACGGCTTTTATGCCGTAGCCTATCAGCACTCACACGTTTAACTTGGTGAGCCGGTCAGCCGTAATCGATGGGATATCGGCGTGAAACCGCAAGACCGAAGGCTCCAGATTGTTTGTTGTTGTTTGATAACTGCGTAAAACAGCAGTTATCATAACAAAACAGCTTCAAAAACATCTAAAGCCTTCGGCCTTGCGGTTTCATGCCGATATCCCATCGATTACGGCTGACCGGCTCACCAAGTTAAACATGTGAGTGCTGATAGGCTACGGCATAAAAGCCGAGGGTAAAAGCGGCCCTGGTGGCGTAACGGATAGCGCACTCGCCCGGAAAGCGTGAGGTGCGGGTTCGACTCCCGCCTGGGGCACGACTTTTGCCCACAACTCAGCATTCTTGTGATAACATTCGGAACGCGTACTGCGGCGTTAAACAGCAGTTATCATAACAAAACAGCTTCAAAAACCTCTGAACAGAGTTACATACACTTTTTTCAAGTGAGGGTACTTACATTCCACATGGAATCAGGAGGAAAGGTTTACGTTGCCATGCCTCGACAGTTTAATATTTTATGAAGGCAGCCTTTGGAATGTCGAGGGTGTGAGTCATCGGTGTGTTTGCTTCCTTGCATTTTTTCGATAGTGGTCTTCATGCACATCAGTAATCCTTTTCCATAATAATATGGCTGTAAATGAAGTGGGCTGTAAATAAGTAAATTTTCAAAAATTCCTTCAAATGGGGTCGTTTTGTGGAAGCAGTCGAACACATGTTTGGTTTCTGGTTGCTTCTTCTTCGCTTTTGTTTGCATTTACAGTCTAAGGAGCTCACGGAAGATGTATAGTTTGTCGAAGAAGAATGTCACTATATGTTCGATTGGTAACGTCGCGTTTCATTTCGTAAACGAATACTTTCACCATTGAGATTTGTACTGACACTTGACACTAAAAAAAAGGGTAACCAGTGAGCATACAGTGCTCTCCTGGTTGCTAGTGTATTTGGCACAATCGCCCAGTGCAAGTTTCATCCTATCCTACTAATCGGCTATGTCCGTGTGTGTGTGTGTGTGTGTGTCTGTGTGTCTGTCTGTCTGTCTGTTTGTCACGAAATTCATAGCACCTGAAGAAGACTTGGAGGGGTCGGGTCATGGTGGGGATGGGTAGGGCATGGGACAATATGTAAATAGCACCTGTGCCATGGTAAACCCCGACAGTGGGCGGGGCGTGGCCGAAGGTTGGCGATGTCACTGAAAAAAATCATATTTCGGTTCCAGAACAGTCCCGGTATGCGGGAACAGTGCTATAAAGTAACAAAGGGCTGACCTAATGGAGGAGACACATCAAGATGGGCGGGGCGTACTTGAGATGGGCGGCGCTTCCCGTGTCACTGAAAAAAGCTATAATTTGGCTACAAAGCAGCTCGGAGACGGGAAAAGTGGAATAAGGTTAGTATTGGGTTGGCAGAGCAAATGGAGGAGACACACTCGAAATGGGCGGGTGTACTCTAGATGGGCGGTGCTTCTCATAAAAGTCGGTAACTCGGTTCCCGAAAAATTCAGAGATCGCAGAAAAGTTCATGACGAAGATGAACATCTGGCAAGAGCCCACCATGTTTGCGGCGTGCTTAGGCCCAGAGTGGACGGGGCATGCCTTTGAACACGAGGTACCAGGTAAAAAAAATCGTAGTTTGGTTGCAGAGCACTACAGTTGGCACAAAAAAATTGGATTTTGGTTCCCAAATGTTGAGATGTGCGAGGCATTCGCCTTGTGGGCAGAGCGTGCTCCAGGGTGAGCGGTGTCAAATTGAAAAAAATTGTAAAACGGTTTCCAGAACACTCCAGACACCGGGAAAAAGTAGTTTAAGATCAGCGAGGGGTCATCGGTTCACAAGTGTGAGGCACACCCGCTGTGGGCGGAGCGTGCGGCGAGGAGGGCGGAGCGAAATTGCAAAATTCCTAAAACGGATTCAGAACATTCCCGACATCGGAAAAAAGTAGGGTCATCGAGGGGTCACCGGTTCACAAAATGAGGCATACCCGTTGTAGGCGGAGCCAGTCCTAAAAATTCCCAAAGCGATTCCAGAGTGCTCCAGACACTCCTCTGTGGTGCGGCCCGGCCTTGCGGAGCTTGGCTCCATCGTGCCTGCTATGAGCAAATGCTCGGCTGATACCCGGCTTTTCTCTCATCTGTCCAATTGATCAACGCTACCATTCCATACAAATAGTGTTGAAAATAGCAGGTATGATGCTATTGGTCAAAGAATGTTGACCATCTGTTCAGATAAAAGAAAAGCCGGATACTAGGTGGGTATTCAAATGTGTGGAAGAAAGTAAGCGCGGCGGAGCCGCTCCCGCCTGGCGAAGCGGGGCCGTATCTCAGAAGGAGGCGCTCCGGCGTCAGCCGCGCCAGCCTGCTGCCTATCAAAACTTTCGGTTGCAGCACCGCCAACGAGGTAACTAATGACTCTGGTATCAATAAGTTTTTGGCTCCTCGACGTTCCAAGCGTGTGTCGACTTTTTGTCTGTTTAGTCGAAGAAGCACGACGAACCCTTCCTACTGAATTCATGCAGAGTGTAAGTGCACTTATCATAAAACCTCCGCATCTACTTTTAGAGTGGTCCGCACGGATCTGGGAGCCAAATTCTTAATCGTAGTCGAGGGCCGCGCTAGTCAACATACGTTTCACTTCGGATGGCAGCTTCGACATACCGTCCTTTCTTTGTCAGTGGTCACGATGCAATAAAGCCCTCTAAGTTATCAGTCCTTGGTGAGCTTCCTCCACCATTCTCCCAGATCCTCAGAAGCGCACACTAATGGTCAACTCTTTTTTATGGTCTTATCAAAACCTATACAGCACACAGTAAACCGTTCTCTTAATCTTTCGCACAACCCTTTACAAGTGTTTGTTTTGTAAGTGCTTGCGTTTTTCGAACGCTCGTACCGCTTTGGCTAGTTGTAGATTTTGACAATCAATTTACTCGCTTCGATTTCTTTGAAGAGCCTTCTTTTCAGGGAGCACCGGAATCATCTCAGATCTTGTTCAACAATCTCAAGGAGGCGTTTGACAACGAAGCGTTGATTGTTGCTGCAATAGCGGTTGTTCATTTGTCATCAATCATTTCATCTCGAAGTTCTTGTTAAAAGCTTATACTCGCCTGCGTAAGTCATGACGTGTATAGATATTCCGTTGTTCAGGCAAGGTCAACAAGTGAAATTGAACAAGCCTTAGACTGCGGTTTGGTCAAGGGACATGCTTATGCTGTCACTGCCGTGAAATATGTGGAACTGGATGCTGAGCCCAACGTTTCAAGGTTTTTCATCTTAAAAGTAGAAAAAAACCAACTGGAATCGTTGATACCAGAGCATTCATCCAGACAGAAACATGCTTTTTATTCGGCTTCGATGTATCTATAGTGAAAAGAAACGTATTGTAGTGTGGAGTCCAAAGTGGGAAAGTTGAACAGAATTTTGGCGGCAGCTCTATGCTGGCACCACTACTTTTCTTTTCGACGTTGCTACGCTAACGTTGCTTCTAGCCTGCACTCTCTCTCGGGCATTTAAAAGGGGCGACTTTAATCTTTCGATACGCTCACATCATCCGGTAGTCCAGGAGCAAGTCGAAGCAATTCAACAAGAAAAGAAGTGTAATTACAGCTCCATCTTGAGAAATCGTGCTCGAATACAGATGATTCGTCTTCAAAATCCATGGGGAGAAAGAGAGTGGAATGGACCTTGGAGTGATGGGAGCAAGGAGTGGGAACAGGTTTGTCAACAGCTTCTCGAATTCACAGTATCTCTCTAGTTGCAGTAGAAGGTAAGATGTCCAGCTCAGTAGTTGCGTTCATAATTAATTCAAAATTCTCGAAATTGCGTTGATTTCGTCATGCATGTGACCCACTTACTGTGTGTGCATTCATTGTTTCCACATAGATTCTGACGTACAGGAAAGAAAAAACCTTCAGAATATATGGTCTGCTCCGGTATCATTTCGTCATTCCAGTGGAATATTAGGTTGTCCCAAAACTTCGTGACATTTTCGAACTTTTTTTCGAGTCAAGTTTATTCCACCGCAATCCTATCAATCCAGTAGGGCGGTGAGACTGTGTATGTAGTGGGCTTTCTTTCTCCCTTCCCATAATGGAATTTCTTCTGTGGTAACCTACGAACCCTATTGTAATCAACTGCAAAGGGGGGTTGAAAATCGCTAACATTTGGTCCCAAAACCGAGCAATGTTTGCCTACTCCACCACAGCTCAGGGTCACACATTTGGAAAACGACACTGCTCGAGATCCCGAAGCTTAGCTGGGGAATTCCACCACAGTCTTCGTGTAGCCCTGACTTAGCTCTTTCCGATCGCCATCTAAACTAATCCCACAGCGGCCATCTTCTGGGTAAAAATACGATTTTTGATAGTACCTCAAAAATGACCCAGCTGCCTTTCTGGGCACAGAACCAAGAGGCTTCTGGAAGCAGGGCAACCACACATTGCGTAGTGATTGGCAACAAGTTGCCAATGAAGGTGACATATATAGTTGATCAAAATTGCTTCCACTGGAATAAACTTACTCGAAAAAATGTTCGAAAGTGCCACGAACTTTTGGGACAACCTGATATATTCCGCTCAGCCAGTGGCACTGCACTAGCCATATAATCGGAATCCCTGAGATGTGGTAGGCGTGGCTGCGTACTTCAACTAAACGTGGAGGTGGCTAAGCTTTTGGAGAGATATTCTCAATTCGACCCAATTGTGGTCGTGTCTCTGTTCAATACAGAAGAAGATGACACTTGTTGCAAAGTGAAATATTCCACAAGTAGCCTATTCTGTGCCTTGTTAGAATGCCACGCCTACTCCGTCTCAGGGATAAGGAGTGTAAGTATTCTCCTTAGCAGGTGGCGCTTCAAAGGCAAAAGTACAGCAAGTACCCAAGGGAAGTTGTATTTGGTCGCTGGGGAGGCTTGTATTTGGTGCGAGGAAATTTTTTGATAAATGATTTTCTTTGTTAGAGGAAACTATAAAGGGAAGGG